CGCTAAATAGAGAATTTAATTTGTTATGATAACATGAGAAATGAGTTAACATAATTTTTAATACATTATCTTTATATCTTCTCTTTGACTTTTTTAAATTTGTAAAATTAAATTGCATTGAAAACATGACATGTAATACATAAACATGAAGAGATAAAATTGAATTGGTACTCTTACAATATTAATGTTGTTGTTCTCTGTCTGTGTACTGTTTTCGTTACCCACTTTATAAAAATATTACAAATCATTAAAAACCAAAATGGAGACGTTTTCACGTTATGTTTTCTCAATTGTCAAATGATATATTGGCCAATGTAGTGCTGTACGTATGATCTTTATTATTTCTCATCTCTTGTCGTTTTATCATGATAAGGATGATTTACGGGGTGATGAGTAATCGACTCATCTTTAAAAAGCGTTGGTAGCTATAACAATGATAATCAACAATGATCAGAATCAACAGAAGTCGATAACTTTGAGCCACGAAGACTCATAGTTATCCGCCCTAACGCGCAAAAGGCCGATTTCAATTACGATTTAACTTTTATTCTTCTTATTTCGACTTACGCTTTAGATATATTTATATATATATATATTTATATATATTATATAATCCTTGTATATATATAAACACACCTACGGTCAACAATTCGATAAACCCTATTCCGTAATTTACACAATCTACACATAGACGTTTTCTCGCTTTCCATTAATAATAATTAGACATCGCGATGTTTTCTCTCACATGGCACACATACGCATATACACGCAGGCACGCACGCAAAACAGGCATATACACTCACTTATTGTGACTATGATGAGGCCCAATTGCGAATAAATAACGAAACAATCATGCTGCGCCTTGATCGTGCGGCGATTGACGCTTTGACCCATTTCCACGTGACATTAAATACGAAATCGATTGACGATCAGGATAGTATGACATTAATATCATTTCCGATGTCACGACATCGCGACACTCCTCCAACTTGTACCATGGCGATCGATAGCTGTACAGAAATTAGCTCTTCAAGCTTTGATGACAAAACAATCGGATTTATGAACTTATGATTAATTTATATTTATCAAGATTTAACACAGAAATATACGAATATAAATAAATTAAGTGTAAACCAAAAAGATAAACAATAATAACCTGCTCGTTATTGAAACACAATGTCAACTATATTAAAAATCAGCCAAAGACGAGCGAATAAATCAAGATGTTATAAATATAATAATAGAATTTAATGTTTAATATGCATTAAAATCGAGCGAAACTGTAGTAAATAAACCAAATTCAAGTGCAATGTGAATTAGCTAAATTTACAATCGATTTACAATGATTTTATGGATACTAGCTTTTTTATGAATTATTTAATGATAAATGATCGCGTGATAATAATCCTGTTTGAATTTATTAATATTTTATCATTGTCACGTGGAACATGTCACTGCAATCGTGATGAGTTTATAGTAGAAAAGAAGAGAATCTATATACGAAACGTGCCATTAGAACAAAGCAAATTATTAATTCTTATTATAATGATACTGCAAACTTTTTATAATCATATTTATTATTAAATTATGCAATGACAAATATAATGTTTAATTTAATGTCACGTGAAGAAGGGACCAGAAACGAGTTATTTTACCTTGTTATACGGTATTATACCTCTGTGAAAACGGTGTTCGTACTCGCAGACCGTGCACTATTCTTCGTATTTCACAAGTATAAAATATTTAACCTCCATACGCGTTAATCGTCCATTCCACAACGCGACTGTCGAATAACGTAATTGACAACGCCGTCGACAATGAGCGGTAGTAAAAGTGTTGTCGTTATAAAGCTTCGTATCCTTTGTCTACCGACGTTATTCATTGTCCCATTAAATGGACGACTTTTATGTAAAAGGACCTGAGTGCCTTTATGTCAAAACTGAGAAATAAGATTCTAAAGTTCTCCCTAGGAAATGTAATAGCTTTTTGTGCTGTAATTTACAGTAAAGTTATAGGATCTTAATCTACTTAACAAATCAGGGTTACAGGACTTGAGATTTAACTATTAATAATATCGGATTAATAAATGTTAATTCGAAAGTATATATACATTTATACAAAAAGATGGATTGATCGTTCTTCCGTCGGTTAGTTGTTTTCACATATGAACATTTCCAAGACGTCAGAGATTTACTCCGTAAATGTCGCCAACTTAAAAGGAGCACAATCGACACTTGGTGCCATTTATAGAAAAGCCGCCTGAATGGAGGTAACAACATGGATATCTAAGATTAGACTCGGGAGAAAAGCGATGTGGACCCTTGAAATACCGATATTTATAATGAGCCGTTTTAAATAACATTATAAATTTTCTAAAAAAAAGAGAAAAATAATGAAGGCGAACATTTGGCACGTTTTCCTAATCGGGACGAGTAATTATCTCTCACTTTCGTTTTCGTCTGCGCGCCTCGTTGTAACTGGGCCGAAATTACGTATAAAAAATCGTTTACCGAGCCGTCACATTTTCGGCGGACCTCAAATTTTCCGAAAATCTGCATAGATGCATGTAAACCACATAAGTATTATTTGTAAAAGGAATACTAACATTAATATAAAAAATTTAGCTCAAAAAGAAAAGTGGAAGCATGATTTTTTTCGTAAAAGTTTTTTTTTATATAAATAGTTCGTCATTTTTGCAAAAATGAGATCGTTTTCAACAATATTTGGTTTTAACATCGATAAGATGGTAGCAATTCTACTTACTATTATTTCGCACTCCCATTTCTTGATATGCGAAGATTCTCGTGATATTGATCGAACATCCATTATAATCCAAGATTTGAATTCTGATGATCAGGCAGTTCGGCAATTAGTTATTTACAAAGCATCGTTTTATCTAGAAAATCCTATTCCCTACTTTTTGCTCAAAGCATATACCAGTATTTTTTCATCGACTTCTTGTGAAATTCTTTTCATTGTATAGGAATGGAAAGTCTTTTCTTGCTTAATAGGATATTCTCGACTGATTTAAATGTAATAGTATGTTATATCTTTAGAACGGACTATAAACCGAGAATAAAATTATACGAAACATCCGTGTTGCATGTTGAAGAAATTAAAAACGACGTAGTTGTCTGAGTAATGTCGAGATGTCGAAAAGAGAAGCGTCTCTGTCATACGGTTCGATTGACATAGAAATTTAATAACGAAATTGCCGATAAAAATATTTCCGTCCAATTGTTCGCACGTGAATATGTTAATGAGAAAAATTTCAATTACCGCCTTGTCATACATGCTAATGTTTTTTCCATAGAAAAATATGGAATATAACTGAGATTATAGCTGCATAAAGTATAAAGGATAATGATTTTTTTTATAATAAAAAAAAGTGTCTTGGCATCTTTAAGGATATATTACATGTATTTTTAAAAGAAAAAATGAAAAAAATTATTTAAAAAATTATAGATTTTTCTACATCGTATTTGTAATATTCATTTTTAGATGGAAAGTATAAATATCCAATTCAAGTCACTTTTTGGCAGAGACACCTGCAAATATATATCCGATATATCCTTAAAGCGGTCGAAATTGTGAACGTTGACTAATGCAATGTAAAATTTCTCAAGAATGTTTCTTTGCCTAGTGCCTGTTTAGAAATTCGAGGAGTGTACGCGATACAAAATTGTATTTCTTGGGATATATGAGGTGTACGCATTGCGAATTCACGCACACGAACGAAAGGCCCAACACTATGCTTTTCGATCGTGTAAAATCGGCGCTGGATCAGACGTTGATGCTTACGGCATGGCAGCTCGTTCCACTTGATCGCGTCTAATGTGAAATTTGCTCGATGGAAATTCACGCGTTAATTAAACACACGCGATTTCTCACAGCAGTCATTCTCGGGAGCGCTTCCTCTCCGGTATCGGTGACCACTCGACGTGAACGACATTTGTGTAATGAATTTCGTATATAACCGCCTCACTCATGATCTGACATTTCGAACGCGAGTTAAAAAAAATTGCGATTTAATAATTATGTCACTGGTGGTGTGGAGACGCGGCTAGCTAACGAGATACCTCGTTAATCCGTAGACGGATCGCGACCGTAACTTGCGATGACGACGCGAACAAAATTTCACGATCTTCAGTCTGCCGTTAACGTTTCGTCGATATTCACTTGGCTGTTAATTTACACGAGCATTAAGCGGAAGAGCGGCCACGTTGTTGGATCGATGCCATACGAAATATGGACGGCTTGTATATAAAAGAAATCGCCGTTTTTGTAATGCAAATAATTTCGGTCTTCATAATGCAAATAATAATGGAAACAATTTTTTTGGGACATATTTCTGATCATCAGTTATTTTGAGGTGTAAGAGGTTAATTTACTAATGAGTTACAAATAAATTACAATAGGTTATAATGATATTCATAATCGATAAATTATAATTTCACGTGAAGAGGAACGAATTTATTTTCAGTTATTTAACTATAAATTATATACTGCCAACAAAAGAGTAGAATGTAATAAACTTCACAGTATATCTTATACATAAATAACACGCGAAGATAAGTTAAAACAGCAAAATCAACGTTTTACTAAAAATATCTCCTTTAAATATAAAAGAGTCATCCATATTACACTGTCGTGCGCTAGTAGTCGGCTTGTTCCATTCACGTGATATGCATTGCATTATTTAATTTAACATGTTGCTTGTTAATTCGGTGCTTTTTGAGCTTCCCAAGTTTCCGTTATTTTTATGTGAATGTGAATATTATTATTAACATTCGTTCTCGCATATCATATTTAAATTTCATGAAATGCACTTTTTTTCATCACTGAAATGCGAGCCGACAATATTTAATTACCGCGTAGAGTTGACGTTGATGGAGATTCCGAATCCATGTATAATATATATATATATATAGGTAATTTTAATCTGTCATTTGTCATGAGTAAAATAATTGTGTTTTCATTAAAAAAAAATTGGACCCATAAAACGTTATCACGTAAAGGATTAAAACAATAGTCGAGATGTCCGTGTCAATTTACCTTTCGATTTCTGCAGAAGAATTTTGTTTAACGATTTAATGAGTCTTGTTATATTTACGAATGTATCATTCAGCACAGTAATCGTTTCCGTTTAAAATATTATAATTAATTTTTAACGTCAGGGTTGACATGATATCGATGAGATTCGGCAATAATAATGTCGTAGATTGCCGAGAACGCGAGGCGACGGAGCTACTCTGCCGCTATCTCGGAGTTTCCTTAGGTTAGCGAATCGAGCTCGTGGTAAACGTAGTTTGCGTTTAAGGGCAAATAGGTTACGTCTATCTTACGTCGAAGCGACCAAGTGGTGCAGCATGATCAGGACGATGCCGATCGTCGCCGGCGGCGCGTTGTCTCTCGACGTTGTAGACGCCGAATTGTCGTCCGCGTCGAAGGCTGGTTCCAGAGTCGATCCTGTTTCCCTCAGGGATCCTTGATGCGCGTGGTTCAATCTGTGATCGCGATCACCAATCGAGTCGCCCGCGTCATCCTCTGATCGCCGGTCACTGCCCTTTTTGGAATGTTTAGGTAGCTCCATGTCTGTAATGTAATGAGAAGGGAAGAGTTTTTAATCAATATATTTTTCTGGATAACATCGTTCCCTTATTTCAAAAACACAATCCAAAAAATTAAATTTATCGCAAAAGGGAAAGAATTACTTTTTTTTTAGCTAATCTGTATATTATAATTTAAAATATATTGTATTCTCTAGAAATTCTTCCAATTATTTAAAAAGTTCGAAACTTAAACCATATTTGATATTTTTCTAAATCTCTCTTTATCTCTCTCATTTTTGTTTTTAAGTCTGTCTTGAACAAATTGCTGTACTTAGAGAAAAAGACGAAAAGAGTTAAATAAAAGCGAGGATTAAACGCGATCCTTTTACAAGTTGTCGAGTCGATGTGAAGAACGTTAGAGTTGTCGATACTTCTGTTACGCACGTGCAATGAGAGCGCCAAGCTTGCAGTTTCTTCATTGCTATCGAATTCAAGGCACGACCGTCGAAACATTATTTCAACTGTGGTCAGCCAGTAGTCGGCGCGATCCGGTGTGAGTAGATATCATTTTTTTCCGCATGTGTAGAAGCTCGATGGAGGGTATCGCACGATGTTTTTACACTCAATGTCATTCGACACACGCGAGGCGAATAAAAGTGAAGTGAGAATCCTTTTTTGGAATTTCGTGCAATGCTATTGTTGCGCGCAATAGAAAACGAATCGACTCGGTTCTCTCTCTTTTTTTTTTCATTTTATCTCCAGAAATTCTTTTTTAGCTGTGAGATATGTGCGTATATTTTTTAAATATTTATCACATGAATTTCCCCTGAATATATCCTTGTCTTTGACATCTCTGGCGTATTTTTCAGCGGTGCTTAATATCCGTGGCACGTTCCATTGAAATTCAACGAGCGAATGATGAGCAAGTCGATACGTGATAGCGGGAAACATGATGTTGTGGGGGAGGGGAGAAGCGATGCAACGATATGAGACACTATTATCTCTCGTATGTTAGGAGATCAATCGGTATGGTTTGCTCTAGGAAATAATTGACGTTAATGTCTCATACTAATTTAACGTACTACATCTCTAACATAATCCTCACATGATTAAATTCTATCTATATTAAGCATTATTGAGAACTTCGTAGTTACTGATTTTATTAAGTAGATCTTCCTAAATAGAGATTTTTAAATTATATTTTATAAAAAGAGAGAGATATACATTTGAAAATCGGTTCAAATCGGCCGAAATAATTGGTGAGATTTGATGAAATATTAAACGTTGAAATGTCTTGTTTCGTATATGTGAACAGAATTATATTAACGTAATCGGATTCGTGTAACGTTAGAATGTCTAACTCCTATATTGATTATATAGCTTCGACGAAGCTACTAAATACCGAAATCACAGAGTTAATTGACAAGATCGTGTTTCAATGATATTGAATTAGATGTGCTCTCTACTAGCCATTTTGCTACTTACTCATTACGCTCAAACCGTGCAGCGAGGCGCAGTTTCCATCCTAATTTTCCTTTTGCTCGGTCAACTCCACTCAGCAATATTGCTAATGAATTTAATCCGAATATGACGTAAATTCACTGCGCAAAAATTTCACCTTTGCCTCCGCGTGGAAAATTCCGCGATTTTGAACGTGCAAAAACTTTTTTTCACGATATATAAAACATTTTCGCAATTACATTTGTCTGAGATTTTTTTGTTCGGGGATGACAATCGACTCCGCAGCGCGGTCAAACAATTCCTTCGGGAATAAAATTTATCTCGGTAAGTCCGCGACACCCCGTATACAGCTGCTGTGAACGAAGAGACAGGTTGCGGTAGACCGGTGCCGGTGGTTAGAAGAACTATAAGAAGAAGTAGAAGTGGAAGAGAGGGTGCGGCAGCTCGTCTAAATAGCAGTTTAGCACTGATAACACTTGGCAGACTTTTATCGATCATGTCTGGCAACAGATGGCTCACCCAATTCCGGACGGCGCGTTTTGTCTGGTCGGCTGATATAAACGATAACTAATACGAGACACAGAAGTACGTGGGGCTGGGATGATGGGGAGCAAGAAAAGAGATAACGGCGGGCTGGCGGTCAGATTAGATATTGTTTCACGGTCTTTTAACCGGAGACGTGATGCCCTGACGATCTTTCCTATTGTTTTGTAGCGATTTTTTGACGGTGGCCAACTCGTACCGTCTGATTTAGAAGAAACTACATATTATTGGATACGCAAGCGAAGAAATTTCGAACAGCTTTTGAAATTACTTACATTAGCGATAATATATTTTTTTAAGTACTGTTGTGTGTGCTTCCTTTTTTTTTATTAAAAAAATAGTTATCTTTATTCTCCTTTTGTAATAAGTTGAAACCGTGAAGAAGTGATAAATTAAAATCGGGAAGACTACGAGTTACGCACGTCTAATATATTTCAAATGATTAGAAATCCAATTTTTACAATGTAAGTAATACCGATCATTTAATATAGGCGACTCATCCTTTAAACTGTACCACGGGATATGATAAGAGAGTTTCAAGTATCGAGAAGAGAGAGATACTCCTGTATAATATAATATCTCAAGAGAAATCAAACCCGCAGACTTATAATTTAAAGCAACGCGATCTTCATCCCAGAGTTACGCCTCTGATATCGAGTCCTCATTTATCAAGGTAAATCCATAATCCCAACCGTGCGCAATCTGTGACAAGAACATCCCCTGGAAGAACGGCGGAAAAGAGGATACGAAAAACCGGTATGGCCAGACGGGACGAGGAAGGTGGATGGAAAGCTCGGATATTGTTTCGCGGACTTTCGGCTCTCGACATGATGCGCCAACATGCCGCCACTGTCCTCGTACGTTCCATAGCTTACCGGTCCTCGCCCTGCACGGCGCCTTTAAATCTACCGAGTACCGAACCACCCTCCCCGGACGGCGTAGACAGCGCACGCTCTTTTCACTCTTGACTCTTCGCGCCCCGTTTACACCGGCGGTTTAACTGTTAATCCTTCGAGTTTATCTGATCGCGTGACTTCAACGAGAAGTTCGAGCACGCCGGGATAGCATCGCGCGCTTCCTCCGCGTGTACACTCGCTCTTTACACGACAGCACGATAAAATTGCCGTCATTAGGATTGCACGCGCGCTCGGAAGCCGGCGGGGGGTGGTTAACTCATAGATATCAAGCCCGGTTTTGTCCAGCTTGTTACGTCATTCTATTCGTGTTTTGATAAAGAGATAAACTGAGGACTGGTAAATTCTTTTTATATTGAAAAGTAGCGACGGAAAAATTTTACATGCCAAATGGTGGCCAAAAGTTCGCGGCCATTGAATAATTTTCTTGTATTGCTCGGATAAAGAATATTTATAAATAAAGATCTAGTATACAAGTATACTTAATATATTTTAGTTTTTTAAATATTGTGTTCTTAATTATAACAAGAATGTTTTTATAAATAAAAAAATTTTCTGTGTATTAAAAAAAATTACATAAATATATATAGGTACCACTATATTATAGCCTTGTTATTATTACACGTTACGTACAAAGCAGTCTTAACAATTCATATTCTATAAATAGAAATCTTAGACAAATATATAGAATCAAACTTTTAATATTAAAACATTGCAGCTGATAAAGACAATGTGTGTCGAAACGTTATTTTTTTAATGATAAATATATAGTTTTATAAATTAAAGCAATACCCAAGAAATTGTATTTATTGTTCGTTTTTTTGCCTTGATTCTTCTTTACGATTGTTTTTACATACATGAGCAAATATTTTTGATAGAATTGTTTTTTATTATAATAAGAATTTTATTAACTCTCTTATAAAATTGAAAAACAGATTCATAAAAATTATCGTAAAATTATATACGTTGGCCGAAAACTTTTGACAGTTATTGAATTATTGTATGCTATATTGTTATTTCTCGAGATTCTAGTAGTAGTAAATTCTGTTGCATGTTTTACTCTTCTTTATACTCTTGTGACTTGTGTTGAGGTATTTTGACATGCGCGCGGGGATGTAGATGCTGATCGCATCGTTGCATGTAAATCTGCAATTTTATGCACGCTTCTCATCAATAACTTGCCCGGAATTTAGCTCCAATCGCGCGACGACGTGTAGAATTTTCGCTGCGATAACGCGGATGTGGAACTCGCGACATAATGCAATAATATAATAATTTTTATTGCCAATTTTTAAGCGGATTATAAAAGCTACATTCCATAAAGATGCTAATTTCATAAGAAGAAATACCGACATTATTCATTCTGCCTCGTTTTGAACAGGAAATGTATGAAATATTGCAATATGTTATAAAAAATATTAAAAAGTAAAAATTACAGTCGCGCACTGAATTATTTATAAAAGAAGATCATAAAATAGTAAAGCGTATGAATAACACATGAATATGAGCATTACACATCGCGTCCTTTGTGAATAAGCAAAATTAATGCCAAAAACAGAAATAATTCTGTGAGTACGTACTATGCTTTATTATAATATTATTACGGTCACTCGGAATTTGATCAATATCTATTTCGTTTATTTAAAAGCGTTGGAGTGAGTATAATGAATCGATTTGTTACATTTATTAAGTACATCATATCAATTTTCTCTTGTCATATATAATCTGCGACGTATGTGAGAATAACGGTATCTAGAATCGTTGAGCCATATATTACAAAAATATTATTTTGCTTAATATTCCTATAAAATTGAACTGTCGCTATTCTAGAAAATAAAATTACTCTTAACTTAATTTTATAAGAACTCGCGAATTATTTTAGAAATCATTAAAAAATGCTGCTTTGTTTTGGTCAGATAATTTCAAAAGTTGCACTTGAAATTACATTTGCTTCAGAGTTCAGTATTTTATTATTCACCCAGAGTCAGATTACGATTCATGCCATTCCTATATGTAATTAAATTGTTGCCAACCTCACTCAAGCCTCAAATATAACTTATACAATATATATATATAATCTAAATTTTAATTCTTATTAATCTTTATTTAGAGTTAAATCTAAATTCTGTTAGTTATTGCCTTCGATGGATAATTTTCTCAATCTGGCAGAAACTGGCGATTTTTTAGAATTTTTTTCAAGAACATCGCCCCCCTAAATTTGTTGCCTCATGCATAACTTGTGTTAGCCTAGAGCGTTAATATGTTGTACGTATCATGATCAAAAATTACAGAAAATTCCAACGTGTAAAATGGATTGATTATGCTTGATCGTTATTTCGTGCCAGGAACGCAGGGTAATTCGCAGCTTCGCTGAATTTTCTCCAGCGCTATAAAGCGGAAAATTATGTGACGCGGAATCCGGTAAATAAACTGTGAAAAAATAAGGATGCGCTTCGAGAAAAATAAGCGGGAAGTTATGGGCGCATTTACGGCTGATGACACACCGACGAGAGGACCGTCGTCGAGCCACGGAAAAATGTGCCTTTTTTCATTCGTTTTTCGACAGTAAAAGGGGTCTACGTACATGCGGTAAACGGATCGTAACGTTCAATCAGAGTGGAAAATTATGAGGTACCGCTCATGAAGACTTATTGCGGTCGTAGAGTCATCCGTCGCATGTACAACGTGAGATATCACCGCGCTATCCAAAATTTTAGCTCTAATCACGCATATTTTTTACTTCTTATCAAGTGTAATAAAATTTTAATGTTATTTGTCCTAAATTTTAAAGAGAAAATAGAAACAATATTAACGAAACTTTTTATCACACTATAAAAAAGTTTTACAATTGCACCTGCAAGTCCAATTTAGAGATTATTTTCTCTCAAGAAAACGCAAATCTTTAATGATTTTAAATTACAACTTACTTTTAATTACTATTGTTTTTTTAAAAAATCTTAGATATTCTGTGATGTATTACATAACGTTGCTACATAACGTAGAATGTGTGTGTAAACTTATTACTGCAGAACATTTAAACGCTAAGAATGTTAAAAGGAGATATTGTCGGAGAGAAACAGTGCGGATTGTAATCATGTTTTAACTGATATCGCAAAGACATTTTGAAGATTACTGGCTTAGGTATTTCATAGCCGGTGGTTGGTGGTGGTATTTCGCAGACACACAATAGAAGCGAATTCCATAAATATTATCAGAAGAGTACAGTATTATCTGCGTCATGAAATAACTTACGGTTACGACGGAGACGTGGCTAAGAAACTGCAGAAATTCCGATCTGTCTCGCGGCCGCCGGTCTCTCCGATATCTTAAATAGTAAAACTCGAGAGGAAACTTAATTTCGCAAATACCGATACTTGTAGTGACAGCCGTGCGGTTTCTTCGAGATAAATTCCTGAGATTACCAAAACGACGAGAGTTAATGTCAGAAATATTATACAAGTGCATGTAGAATATTTCTGTCCAGAGATTTCCATTTTAGCTTAATTTTATTACTATCTTCCATTCTTTGTTATATAATACACGCCAAGTTACGTACGAAGAAGAAATAATAAAAAAAAAATGTAAAAAATAAAATCTTGAACTTTCAAGTCATAAAGCATTTTACATCTTTTACAAACGAGTGATTTACATTGTTCATTGTACTCAACCGTTCAATATTCGCGACGAATAAACGAAAATAGCATAGGCATAAACAGACGTGTGTTTTTTAATTCTACACGTAAAGCTAATCGTTCGCTATTTTTACAGTGATGTATCGTTACGGGCGACAAGAAATATACCATCGTATTGCGTAATACACGAGATGCTCGTTGCCGTCGATCGTTCCTGCGAGATTGCGACGTATTAAATCGTGCATGTAATGGAAACGGCGATGTCGCAGTGATACGCTGTACTTTCTCGCCGTCTTGGAGCACGTGCAACTACGACTGTCCTCCGCAATCAAATACATGTCTCTGATATCTAGGGCTGTTTCAGTGTTTCCGTAGAAAAGCTTTCACTTTCAGAAGTGATATTTTAAAATGGACGTGAACATATTGCGCGTACTGTTCAATTTACTTTCGAAAAATTACGTTTCGTAAATAGAATTTCCGATATTGTAGTATCCTTTTAATGTTATTGAGTTAGTTTCTTTTCCAATATTCGAATACTTTAATCTTTATAAGACGGAAAAGTTACTATATTGGCACTGAAAAACAACCATATTTTAAGACAAAGAATGCACAATGAAATAATAAATTATAACAAAATTTAACTTGAGAAGTAAAGCTGCAAGATTTAAAAAAATAGACCCCCCGTCTTCTAAAGATTGATAAATATTCCAACTATCTTAGTAACAGAATTTAGCATGTCCTTCCTATTTATATCTAAGCAGTCTTCAGACTGACTACTAATTTTTTCAAAAAATTTATAATAAATGCATTAACTCTGTAAGAGAATTTATGACGGTACGACGTCGTTTGTGTCTGACGAAGTTTCCCGAGACTTTCCGGAAACCCCAACTCGCGTAGAGAGAGACTTTACGACCTGTTTTCGCCCTTGTCGACGCGTTAACCGCGGAAACTCACCGTAAAGCCGGATGTTCCCCTCAGCGTCGCCAATGGAGTTTTTTGAGATGCACTTGTAGCCACCCAGATCGTGCTTCTGCAGGTTCATGATAACTAGTCGCATCTGCACGCTGTACACTGACGTCTTCACCTCGGACATCGCGTACTTACTGTTAGTGATTATCATTTCATCTGCAGAAATACATTTTAAAAACTAAATTAATAAGAAATATATAAAGTGTCATACTTTGGATAAATCATTTCCATTAATCGAGATAATTTCTGATTATAGATAACGAAAAATATTTTCTGTCTCTGTACAGAATGTGTGAATGCTCTCAATTATAAAATATCTTTTAGAGAATAATTCAAAATCACAACTGACAAGTCATTTATCTTTCAAGTAAATTGAACGACAAGAACTACGCTGATTGCACTGTTCTATTACCAGTTTCTCGGGTCCAATAATTAATGGCCTTAGGTGACGCTTCCACATGGCAGACCAACGTGACGTTAGTTCCGATCGGAGCTCCGACCAGCTGGTTCGGTACCTGGACCATCGGGTGAACTGTAAACCATAATGATTCGATCAGTTGCGATTCAGACTAACGACAGCACAACAGCGGCGATGCACCCGTGCGTGCGCGGTTTCCCGCGAACTAATTTGTCTAATTGAACGTCATCGACCATGATGCTACAAAGAATATTTTTCTGATTTGTTTCAAAATGAAGATCGCGGAAACAACGGTGGTGCATTGTATCACTTGCACAATTCAATCGCCTTACTTCGCAGTTACATTGTGGTCCCTTTGTGCTAGTGCGTCATTAGCGAGCTACGTGAGCATTTCACGCTAATGAAACATGCTGACAGATTGTCATTTAGCGAGCAAGCAGAAAGGATGCATTTTCTATCTCTCCCTTTCATTACCTCTGCCTCCCCCTTCTCTCTCTCTCTCTCTCTCTCTCTCTCTCTCTCTCTCTCTCTCTCTCTCTCTCTCTCAAAAGGCAGCGTCGCTATGACTGCCTTTCATTTCAAGTATCGTAAGCAGCTTTCCATGAGCTGCTTACGTTTTAACAGGCGACCGCGCCGAGCACTTCTTCTTTCGGCCGAAGCTCGGCCAAACGTCGTGTCGTCACAAAGCGCTTACAGTGCGTTTTACAGCGGCTACTTAACCTCACCGACATGAAATTCTACCTTCAGGAAAACAAGCTACCCTGTAGCTCATTGAATTCACTTACGTCTCTTCTGACATACTTTAGCAAAAACTCTGCATGTCGTATTTCATGGCATAATAATCATTGTCGCTATTAATAAAGTTAACGTAATTACTAATCACGTCATAATACCAAACAAGATAAAAATATGTAATTTTTTAATAATGATGAATAAGGTATGTTAGATTGAGTGTTATTATCTGCACTTTGGAAGTTAATAGTAAATTCAGATTGTTGTAATAAATTTATGCAAAAAATTGATGAAATAACTTTACCTGTGTATGTTTTATGTATTTAAGAAATTTATTTTAAACCACGATGATTAAAGCACGTTATTAAATTGTCGCTTTAATAATATATCTTTATACATATATTTTACAGAAATTCAAATAGAATACAAAAAAGTCGTAATAAAATTAAGAACGTATAAAGAAGTTTTCAGAAAAAATCATGATGTCAGTACATTTGATAATAATTTTGACATGATGATTTTAAAATAATTAATTTTTTATCCAAAAAATCACGTAAAAATCATTGTCATGTCAAGAATTTATCATAAGATCATCAAAAGTGTATCGAATGACAATTTTCCCTAAAATAATTTTCCCTTTTACTTGATATTATTTTGATCTTATTACGACTTTATGTTTTACGTGAAAATACATATATTTTTAAATCGCTATATATATAGCGATAGATTTGAAAATATTCATTTGCATACAAATACGGAATATAGATAGAGTATCTGTATTCATGATGAGATTTGCTATTACAGATTCAAACGATTCTGTATTGCCATCGTTAAAAGATAACACTTTCTAAGATAGTCCGTACCCTTAGTAATAAAGATTACGTAAGCGATATTGATGGGCAGAATGTTGGGTGACAATATTATGTACGTTGTAACAGAAAATTAAGATGATGGCACGAGATAAACTGGCCGTTTCCTCGGCGGATCTTTGGTCGACTCTTTATCTCGAGCGCCGCTTGGGAAATATATGTGCTCGAGCCACGCTTGTGCACACCAAAGATCCCAGCAGCACCGAAACGACACTTTTATATGAGAAAGGGGAATACACAGAGTGTTTGGCGGTAGGATAACCGTAAGGTCCGTAAGTCAGACATATCGACGTCCTGGAATAAAAATCGAATAAATTTGACATCGTAACCGAAGAAAAAGAATTCTATTTTACACATTAACTCTTTTCTACAAGATGCTACTTTTACAATAACGTGATTTTAGGCGTTTCTTTTTCGAAGTTCCTCAATGCTACTTGTGTCGTTCTTAAAGTTTCTTAAGGCTTTAAAGAGATTATATCTTTTACAAGATTTTAAATTACAATATTTGAAATTGCGTCATTTTTGTAAATAAAAGGAGAATCTTTTTGTTTTATTTTAAATTTAGTTATTTTAGCTGATATCGGGATAAATATAAACTATCGGTGATATTTCGAGTTATGTCATTTTTTATGAATATTCCGAATTTGTTATACTTTTGTAGAATATCAAAATCGTCACAATTCAAAAAGGGTGGTTTTTTTTAAGGATTGTGAAACGATAATGACGAAACTGACATTTTATTATATTTCTATAAGAATATATATATATATTCTTTTGCTGAAATTATTTGATTAATCAATAATTTTCTGTTAAGTTGAAAAATAATTTTTTTTCTTTTCTGACTAAAGAACTTAATTTTTTGGGTCGTGTCTCTTTTGAAGTAAGATAACGGTTTTCTAGTATTTTCAAATATATAATATTGAACCGATCTGTAACGGATAGATAAATTCTTCAAGGAGTTAAACTTTGATATTTTAATTATTCATCAAATTCGTGCGAATTAATTGGAGAACGCTTTTGTCAAACGCAAATCCGGATACGATCGCGATAATAATAATTGCGCAGTGATTACGAATAATTGGTAATTGTGACGCACATTATTGGTTATGCCGTAAAACATGGACGAGCCAGAAAGTGCGGGACGAATTATCAAAACGAAACGCACGATACAACGAGGCACTTCGGCGCGTGTTAATTCGAACGCGCGGACTCTCGGCAATTTCGGGCGAACAATTATGCGCCGAATTGAATCACGGTTTCTCCCCTAAGCATAACCACGCGTTGTATCGCGAGAATTGATTTATGAATCCCTTCTGGCCATAACAGGAGAGAGAGAGAGAGAGAGAGAGAGAGAGAGAGAGAGAGAGAGAGAGAAACAGGAAAAGAGAGAGTTTTAATTGCTCCGATTTGCCAAGCGTGTCCCGCAAATCCGTTACATGATTTTCCGATGGATTTACGTGCAAACTTTCGATCCGCGCACGTCCAAAAACTCATGGCACTGATTTCACGCACGTATGGTATGATAGTGATGAATACTCGCTCCGGGAATTCTTCGTGTAACATTTAGCTCGGTACGTGACGATAGGTGACGCGTTTGCCCGGATAACAAACAGCGAGATCGCTCGACATTACTCTTAATTGTGAACGAGCCCATGGTCCGAATTCGGCGAAACGTAAATACGTTGCGACATTTTAACGTCGGACATTTCGTCGCTAAGCAATTGCGCGAAATGCAAATCGTCGTCGAGTATTTCACTGTTTATTGATAAACTGGTCGTTTGACCAGTAACGATAAAATCGTATTGAATCGCTTATCGTACATAAACATGTATTGATACAATTTTTTGTGATAGTGTTTTTTATTCAAAATTTTAAATAGCTACGCAGGTACTATTGCCATGTTCACTGAACTTTAATCAAATATATCTTTATATATAATAAAGAATGGCTCAAAAGAATTAAAAAGTAGAATAAATTTAAGAATAGCTACGAGCCAATTAAATAAAAAGTAACATCTGAAATAAAGGCTTTAAAATAGACATAAAATTAGAAAGAGAAACAAATTGTATTTTTTTAAAGACTAAAAAATATATCTTTAGTAAAATTTTAATAAATAAACAAATTTTTTTAAATTTCGATTTTAGAACGCCAAATTAAATTGTTAAAGAAAATTAATTTTGAAAAAAAGTCTCCTTTTTTTATCTATTTATGCTTTTAAAAATTTTTGTTGATATAATAAATTTATGTCAACAGACTGCGGAGTATTTCTAGCGAAGAATATTTTCGAGAATATGGAGCATCTTATATCAAGTTTATGCAGTAACCGCATAACTGGATGTTATGCGGTAACGTGTGCAAGTTCACGATGCGGTATGGCCGATAAATATAGGGACGCCAAAATAAGCTTGTCGAACATCAATCAAATAAGTTCGCGGATGCGATACCTGTGCTGCAAAATGGACAGTCGATCGATCTGAACCTCGAGGAACCGAAATAGGAAGTCGGTCGTGAAGCACAATCGCGAGCTTGCAAATAAATAAGCGGCACAGGCTAATTTCTTTCGCCGCCTCTGTTAATTAAGCGCAGCGGGTGTACCTCGGGGCGCTTAATGCGACCTGTGGCGCGAAATTGCATTCGTCGCGTTCATAGTCTAATCTAATGCAGTGTAACAACTTAATGCGGTGTAATAATTTAATGCAGCGCGCAATTCTCAATATCGCGTCAAATGCCCTCTAGATAAATTGCCGTATCGATTCCTGCAATAATTAAGTTGGACTCAATATCCATTGTAAAAAATTTTCTGAGCTTGCTTTCAAGTTTGTGAGATAAAATCTATTATTATTTTTTAAACAGAGGAGAATAAAGTAAATATAAACGTTTAATGCGGCAAAAGAAAAAGTTGGTTTGTATAGTAACACTTTTTAATTTTTTATTCACTTTTACATCGTATTTTTCTTACAATCCAATATTTTAACAAATTATAAAAATTACTTAGAGGAGTTTACCTTCAGTACGCAAAGAGAAACCGAGCGCAACTGACTTAAACGAACGATTAATTACAGTAAGCAGATGAGTAATTGCGGACAGTAAGTAACAAAATCACCCAAGTTAAATCTCTCGCAATTTGAATGAACGACGTCTTATTGATTGTAACGCAGGTCGACACGTGTAATTTCGTGATAGTAATCGTGACGATATTAATTCTTTTTTATTTTATTAATATTACTTCTTTTTAAAAAAGCCAATAGTATGGAAAGTTAATTTACAAACGTGAAGGAGACTATTATACTATATTTCCAGGTTGAGTAGCAACTTAGCTGCGTAAACGCCTTCTCTCTCTCTCTCTCTCTCTCTCTCTCTCTCTCTCTC